TGATCACACTGTAATATTAAAAAAAAAATTCCCACAGAAATGACATCAGGATAATTTTTGGTACCGGTACTAGACCTACCCACAGAACCAACAGCTAAAATTTACCAATATCGGTAGCAGTACTGTCCAAGTCTAAGACTTCACACGGTCTAAAAATAAAAATGCCCACATTGCGCAAACATTATCATCAAAGGACTTTTTGACACAATATACCAATACTTCATCCCCTCTACTGCAACTGCCAAAACGGAGTTGGCATTGACGTCTAATTTGGGGCATTCAACAGTAATTTTTTTCTGGGATTCCCGATCCGGGCACACAAAAGAAAAAATAACCCCACGCGGGCAATTGTTTGCCAACAAAGGGGCATGCTGCAGCTGCAGCGGTGCATTACGTCAACCGTTTCTGTCACATGTGGTGGGGTTTCCCTCGAGCCTCTGATGTCCATTGTCAACGGAAAGCGGAGGAGATACGCAATTCCTGAAAAGGACACATGCTACATGTACCACATCTGCGTTACTTTGGGGACAAAGCCAGCAGTAAGCTTTGGTTTCTATTGGCAGTGGATGCTGTCGGGTTATGTCATGCGTTAAAGTCAGGCCTTTCAGACTTTTCAACATGCTGAGAACAGCTGCACAATGAACGTGAAACGTGGACTCGTACTTTTAATTTTGCATGATATCAGACAAAGCAGCTTTCATTTTTCTGAAGTATAAATGTTGTTTACTGCACACGTACAGTGTACACGTGCATGCTTCTTGAAGTAAACAAGAATACACAAGCAGTCAACAAATGTAAACTTCTGTGCACTGGCATATGATACATTGTTAGAAACTTGTACAAGCTTGGGTGTATGGTATGTACATGTGCATGTACTTTTAATAAACATGCAAATGTGTAAGTACAAATCTTCATGATGTAGGCCTATACACCACCAGTACACTGTATTGCAAAAAATTTGAAAAGATTGTGCCCTCCCTCCCAAAAAATGACCACATACTGAATTGTCATCAGTGCTAGGTGTCCATGAACATGCACTCCAATTATTTCCTGTCTGCTACCAATCAATCTGCACGATTTGGGCATGACACTGCACAGTACGGGTATATACATTGTACATGTATACCAGTACATGTATGCACATAGAGGTAGTTCTGCAGATTGGGAGGCATCCCAACACTGTGTTTTCACTGCTGTGCCCATGTAAAGATAAACAAAATATGGCAGTAGCCTACCTCAAAGTAGGTCATGATTCATGAGATACAATACTCCAGTAAATAAATCTTAAAATTGTCTGCGCATTGAACAGCAACTGGGACTACTGGTAATACTATGCACATACATTAAACACTATAAATACATGTACATGTACCAGTAATCTAATACCGCAGTACAATATCATTCAGATCCACATTGTTGATAATAAAAGTCAAGTCAGTGGAAACAACAACTTCTGTATCTAATGTGTTTTGTATAATTTACATATACTTGTATCTTTAGAGTTTAAAATAATATTCTTCAGGAACTTGTGCTGTTTAGTACCAAATACTTCAAGTTAAAAGGTTATTGTACATGTCCCTTGATGTACACGTCTGTTTGTCAACATTGTGTGTGTGGCTGTGACTGCCTTATGACGGAACAATGGCTACATTTGTACAAATGGCTCAATATGAACCTGTTAAATTAATGCCATGCAGATATACAAGTACTCATGAACTAACGGTTTCATACATTTAGACTGTACATGTATATGTACCATACCAGTAACATGTAACTAGAAATCTTCAGCACAATGGAGTAGCATACGCATGGAAAGATACATGTAGGTCAATCACCTGTCTTCATGTACATGCGTAATTTGTCACCTGCAGTGATGTTAATTGTCTTTGATGGGAATTAATCAGGGTTTGATACAGTCACATTTGCACTGGTCAATATTTTCTTTGGGCCAAACTGACCTTCACTTTCAGGGTATAATATTGCCATAATTAAGTGAAGCTTTATGGGCCTCTATGAGAGGAATTCATTGCAATTACTGCCACGCAAATACCAATGCCAACTGCCAATTTCAAGCGGTAGTTACTGGTGATTTGAAATTTGGGGTTTCAGAGGCAAAGATTTAGAAAGCAGTTTGTGGCTGTTATATGGGCATACTTTACAATAACAGAAAATGTACAAATTAATGCACACTGCATGAACAAGCACAAAATACATGTATGCACAAATGGATTTGAGATTAGAAGGGTAGCCATTTTATAACGTCTTGACTTCAACAGTTCAACAACAGTTCACATAATTTTAGATCCTCAATTTCTTGGAATATGACTTTATTAGCCAAAAAAGGCTTTTTAAAAGCAAACTGTGGAATTGCCAAATGCCCACCCAATGAGGTACAGGAGTTCATTCCACTTCTCGGTCAACTGTGTTAGGCGGACACAAGTCAGTCTGTCCGGGTCAAGCCCCCCCTTGGGCCAAGTATATATCTGTACGAATTCTCTCTTCTTGCGTACACAGCCCTCAACCCTCCAGCACAAACAACATTGGCCCAATGCAGCCAGCCAGTCTGGCGACTGACGACTCCACATACTGCATTATTGAATCAAACAGCACGTATTCCCCTCCTTTTTTTTTCTTGTGGGAGGGGGGAGGGTAGAAGGAGAAAAAGGGAGGTAGGGGAGTAACCAAGGCAGCGATTCTCCCATCACTTAGCCAGAGTGAATTCCTGAGAGATTAGTAGTACTCTGGAAGAGTCCGCAGAGGCTGCCATCGTGACGAGCTTGATTTCGCCCGGGTGATAAGGCTGGTTGGGGTGTTGTTTTTCCTGCGACTGGGAAATGGACAGCACTGTGTCCATGGAGCCAAGCTCCTGTTATCTTTTTCAGTAATTGCATTAGAGATCAAGAAGTCAGAGCAAGTTTTTGGAGCCTCTTCAAAAAGCACAACAACCGTTGTTGAGATTGAAAAAAAGTAAAACAACGAAGAAGCAACTCACTCGAGTGGATTCATTCATGAAGTTTTCCAATTATTTCCATTCAATCAACAGCTTTATTCTGTGTGCCGATAACTGTTTACTCCATTCAAGAATTTGGTGTCGGACGAATAGTGAGCATAATCTTCACAAAACTAACACTGAGCACAAAGAAACACATTAAGGAAGTACAGTACACGTACATTGTGCCCCTATGTACTGTAATGGAAAATAAGCTCAGATTCAGCCTGAGTCATCTGCTGGAAATCTTGGATATTTTTCCTGTCCACATCTTTTTTCTTGATTGTCATGTATGTAAACAATAAAATAAACAAACCGCAGTCTATCTAGTACACTATACCGGTACATGTGGGTATGGTAATATTACATGTACATGTAATACCCCTGTACGTACATGATAATACTGTACACACACATCTACTTCTGCAGGTAAAGCACATCCTTGTCAACGTTAACGCGTGACCTCAAACACTAAATTCATGCATCATCCTGTGAGTATTAAAATTAGCCTGAATATACACAGCGAGTACTCACACTGTTCATTAAGCAGAAATATTGTGAGTCAGCCAGAGAGGGGTTTTGGGCTTTTCCACCAGAGGATAAAACCCGTATGGAGAACATTGTCAATTTCTAGTTTGAATTGTGTGTCCCAACAGAATTTTTTTAAAAGAAAAAAAACAGATTTACTTGTACATGTATGGTAGCATTGGGCAAGTTAAACTCCCAAGGGTGTCTTTATTTCTAACCAATCACACAATTTAAGATACGTTTGGTGACCTGCAGTCTTTTTTGCTGAGTTTGCTTTCCATGATTCAAATCGCAAACTTGACACACTCAATAAACTAAATTCCTATTCACTATCCAGCCACATTGAGCACTTCATCAGTAACGTACCACTTTCCACTCTATCTAGCAAGCAATGTTCATAAGCCAACAAATTTCATAGGCAAATATGTAACCCCTGGCATTTTTCTGCAGTTTACATTTTTGTTACGTCTAGATGTATCCCTGTTGTGCAGTGTCCAGACTTGTCAACAGGCCTGTTTTTGTCCTACAAGTACATGTACATGCAAGATGTTGGTCCAGTCATGGAGCTATTAATAGTGCACAAGTACTGGCGTAATCTTAGGGCAGTGTGGCGCATCGTGTAAATGTAATACAGTACGGTGGACGAAGTGTGTACATGTACCTGAATGGCCTACACATGACACAGGAATGGGATTATAGGTTGTCAGCACTCACCACACCAGTCTTGATTACTTTGAACAAAACTTGTGCTTCAAGTCTGGCTCGTATTCAAATCTGTGATTCCTTCTTGCATTCATTTCACTGACATTCATGACTGACCAAATGTTCTCACAAATGCACGTGCTGACAAGGACACCCAAAACGTGACAAACATTTGTTTAGACACTGTACATGTATGACAAGTAAACACTGACTACCAGTATGCTAACATTTTTGTAACAACTACCATGACCCCTTAACATGTTAACTGATTTTATTTCACCATTTTTAACTTTTTGATCCAGCAAAATACAATATACTAGGCCAGTGCAGGATGATATGCAGTCTTGGGTCCAAAATTACCTAGGCCTATGCAAACATATCGTGACTTGGCAAGCCTTGGCTTTAGGATGGTGGAGTCATCCCTACACAAATGGTTCTCTTTTAAAATTTGTTTTATTTCTATCATGGTGACAGAAAGCCCCAGTTATCCATTGCTATGGCTATATTCATGATTATTTTGACTCGTAAGATGACAAGGCAGGCATGGCAGGATAGATGAGAGATGACTGGCATGGCTGGGAGAACTTTGCAAGAGAAATGTGCGATTTTAAGCAGTCTTTGTAGTTAAAAAAATATACATGTTGTACATAGGAATAATAGAAACTGGTCTTTACAGCAAGAACTACCCAATTAACTGATTAACGGATTTCCTCAACACGGTCACACTCAGGACATTTAGCCCTGCTGAACCATGTGACGACTAGGGTTGCCGATAACTTACCTGAGAACTGGCCTGGCTGAAGAACTGCAGAAGGCTCCAGTCCACAGACGACAAAATAGTCGACAAAACGGTTCGTCTGCTGCCCCGTGGAACCCATTCCAAACGGGGAGAGACCGTGCACGGACGATGGACTGTAAAGTGAATAACAAATTTCCTCAGAGTATCAACCGATCTAATCCTCGCTCAACCGCTCGGGAATCGGTTCTGCTGGTGATTTGTGTATGTGTGGAGTCCGGATGCGTCACTCAACTTCTCGCACAATGCACATAGTCAGTGCACCGTCTGACACAGTTTCGGTTGCTGATTGAGATCCAATGGGAGCTGTTGTATAAGTATGGTGGATACCAACCCAATCACTCTGGTTTCTAGCTGATTGAGGATACAGACCCATTTGCAAAATGATAGTGCGGTTGATAACGGTTGGGTAGGTTCTATATTTATATATTTGGCGGGGTGACTCAATTTCGCAATTTTTCTCAGCAATTTTGCATGATTACTTTTATTATGACAACAATACATTTAAGGAAGACGTGTTTGGACTTTTGCAAAAACATCTTTGCAAAAATAATTGAAACCGATACAGTTGGACAAATTACCGTAACGGCAGATCCGTTTGAGTGGGCGTGTTTCAGGGTTTCTCGAACACACAAGGGGTGTAGGGCTGCATCCGGGTCCCCTTTGCGTCGATGATCACCGGTGGTCTATTCCAATATTTCCCCTAGAAAATAATTGTTTGACATCGCTGGTGATAAATTTCGACAGAATACGGCTAAATTTCAATGATAGCCCTACGCGGGATGGTGTTGGTTAGGTAGTAATTTTAGAAATGCAGAAAATCCATTTAGGCATTCATAATTTATAATAGGCCTTTACGCATACACATTGGGCATGTAATTGAAAAGCGCTATCTAAAAGCAACTTCATCGGTTCTTGCAGAAAATTGAGCCATGTATATGTATTTGGACAGGTATACACGTAAACTCTGAATTCTACGGGACCATAACTTGCATTTAGCAGTGGCGTTTCCAGCAGGAGCAACGCTTTAGAACAGGTTCTAACACCTTCATTTTCGATGGGATGGCTCTTTTACATTTGGACTGTCATTTCAAATTTAAAAAATCACGTTTACGCCCAGATTTAAAATTTGTATACGCCACTAAGTTAGGAGATTCCCCCCACAGCTGCAGTTTTTGTAGGTCACCAAAAAAAGCCGCAATAAAAGTTAATTGTAAAGGGCGAGACTTTGTATTCAACATCTGAAAATGCATCAAATATAGCACTAACAAAAACTACACACAAACATCCAGAACAACGAAATCGACAATAAATGGGACCATATTCACAATAAATTTGTGCCCATTTGTTGTCTGCCTTACCAAAACAAGGGGACATGCCTCAAAAGTGTATGATGTGCACACGAGCATCTACTATGAAGGACGAAAAGTGGCCATCTGCTTTTTACCTGTCAAAAAAGCAGGAAAGTGGATTAAATGTTTTGACCACAATCGTGAATTCAACCTTTCTGCTTGATACTGGACAAGCAGATTTTACATAATTGCCCAAAAAGTGGCCATCTGCTTTTCTTTCCTCAGTGGGCCGTGAATGGGGTCATGAACCTGTAGGTTACGACCATTTCCGTTTCAGGGGAGGGAAGGCATAGAAACCAATACTTAAACCATGCTTTCTGCGGACCAATCCCATTCGGCAGTATATCAGTGTCCCTGAGAGCACGGACCCTAGGCTGTGAGGCACAGAAAACAGCATCTCAAAGGAATAACAGTTTTACAGCCGTCATCCAAGAGATGCACAAACTTGCCTGAGCCAAAGGAAATTAGAATCATTCATTATACATGTATAAGATAGGTTGGACTGTAATTGTTGGTTTATACGTCTTCAATCTCCTAGAAAAGAAATGGTCATTACCTGAGGTTCACAAACCCGTTCACGGCCCTTGGACGGCAGAAAAGCAGATGGCCACTTTTCGGCCGCCTGATGTAAAATTGCTCCTCCGGTATGAAAAAAAAGCAAAAAAGTATAATTCACGGTTGTTGTCAAAACGTTCGATCCTCATTTCTGCCTGCTCGAAAGGAGAAAAGCAGATGGCCGCTTTTCGGCCGCCAGCGAATGAGGAAAACATAAAAATCTGTTTTTCTTGAAGCAGAAAAATAGAAAAATGCATGATCAAACAATGTCCATTCTGCTTTTCGAGGTGGCAGAAAAGTAGAAAAGTCGAAAATGCATGTTACCAGAACATAAAATCTGCTTTTCTATCATTCTGATAGCAGAAAAGCAGATGGCCACTTTTTGTCCTCCATAATATTCTCCTGAGTTTTTATTAAGGGCGTTTTTGCGTAAAATGACTTCAATTTTTTTTTTCCTGAGCAGTACCAGTGGGAGGCATTGAGATAAAACCTGACACTCGAGTAAGACATATTTCTAGCAAAAACCTAAATGACCGATTAGAAGCATAAGAAAAAAAAGCAAGAATGCAGCGCCGGCTTTGCCCCCTATGTATCGATTGCTTATCCATAATTCCGATTCCGGAATGGGCCTATAAAGTGGCGCGTCGCTTTTGTTCAAAATACGATGTACGCCTTTACTGTTAATGTACATCAGCGCTGTAACGTTTCGTGAGGGTGAGGTTTGAGACCCGGTCATCGACAGTCCAAGTTTTCGAGCCGATGCGTATACGGCTAAACAAAGAAAGTTGATAAACTTGTCTTTCTTTGTGTACATGTGACCACTGAAATCAAGGGTAGATCAAGAGGCAACTTTCGCGGGAGGGGAGACGGGAGGGAGAGCCAAAATAGAAACGAAGTTACCGGTATGTGATCTGTATGGACTTTCTCAGGCTCAATTGGGGAATTTTTAAATGCTTTGTGAAGAAAAGGGATTATAGTCCCGAAAATTAATTTTGAAAATCCCTTGAGCGGGTAACCCCATTTCCCCCCTCCAATCTACCAGTCATTGAAATCAAAGAAAAATAAAATTCCCCATGCGTGAAGGGACGCGGAAAGGATGCGTCAACTCTACTTTTTTAATGACATGCCTCAAAACTCTTGCGGACTATTGACAATGGGACCTGACGGATCTGGGCCGTCCGTCAACAGCCGACAACCATACGATGCAAACTATGGGACAGAGAGACCTCCCCCGCCTTTGTGTTGGTCATTGTTATACTGATATCTCAGGAATTCTTTTCAGACATCTATGGGGGGGATGTGTTAAGTAACAATAGGCTGGAGTGTGTATAGGGATTGGACTTGTCGGGGGGGTACCCCTCTGTCCCATTCCGTGCCGCGGTAACCGACAACCGTGAACAAGTTGTCGATTTTGACCATTTACGAACAAACACCCCTTTAAGAATCAATGGCAATGATAAAGAGGGCGCTGTGCTACTTTGTAAGTGAGTTATCCGCACAGCATCCACAAGGTCAACTGAGGCAACAGTGCTGCATGGGTCTATTATTAGCACACTTTCAGCTAGACTTTCCAGAAGGTTGTAGGGTGTAGTTTGTAGGGTTCATTTTAATGCCCTTTATCCATTTTCCCCAGTATGTTTCAATCCCTCCTTTAACCTGGTGGATTATCTTTGCTTTCATGGTTTCACCATCTCGTTTGGAAGTCTGTTGGAAAACAGGTCGTCTAGCTTGATGTCCAGATTTAGTGTCAAGTTATGAGACCATCAGGCAGCAACCATTAATAGACAGATTCATTAAGCCCTGTCCCATTATAGCACCTGCCAAAAGTGTCTCCTCACCAAAAATGGGGGGCCACTAGTTCCCCCCGCCACACACACACACTTCAGAAAAAGTTAACAAACTCACTAAATCTGACACTTAAATGTCGACCACATCCCCTTTTCTAATACCAAAATCAAACGATGTCTTGAACCAGTTTTACAGACAACAGAAGATCAGGTACATCAGAACTGGGCCTATCCATTGTCCTGATCCATCCAAGCATTTTAAACCTAATCCTACCTTCACCTTTACAAGCTAGAGTGAAAGACATTCACAAGAAAGAGGGGAGAGTGGGGTAGTGATAGTTTTCTGCACACTGTTACCTCATCACCAAATTATCCAGTAAATAAATGCATTAAATCATCTCATCGGAGCTCTTTGGATGACCAGAATCACAGTGAAACCCTCAGTGTCACAAGAAATGGCAATCAAACAACACAGCCAAAGCTTAAGAGCCACAACAAAGCTGAACAAAATTCACATAACAATCGGGAACACATAAACACCAACCACACCAGCATTACAGAACACTGGTAAAAATAAGAGTTTTTATTTCGTTCTTTGTCAGGATTCTAGTCCACAATTTGTCCGAGACATACTCATCAGACAATAATACACAAAAGTATACAGCTACACAAAATAGAAATCTGTTTGTGAAACAGCGTGACTGCATTGTATGGGGGACAAGAACTGACACTGCAAAAGTAATTAAGGATCACGTCCAACCAAAGCATGCTCATTAAGACTGGACAGTGAACACCCATGTCGCTGCCATATTAACTTAAACCTATTTCAAGGGAGGACATCAATGATAAAAATGGTTAGATGTCAATTATTAAATAGAAATACTTAAATATTCTCCACATTTTGTTCTAGTATTCAGTTTAAAAAACAGTTCATGTAGTTAACAGTGGTATTTTTATCTCTGTAACTTACTGTGGTCTTTTTTTGTTACTGTTAAAATTACACTGATCAGGAATTTTTATAGAAAAATCTGATTTATCTTTTAAAAAATTGATTAAAAGTACATGATTTATATCTGATTACTTATGATACAAATGATACAGAATTTATACACTTGTTTCTGACTTTGAAATTGGGCTTGATTGTAACTGAGTAGTATTCTTATAATTGGGACACCGTTTATTTCAACAAATACACATTTACAGCAGCATTTGGACAAACAGGCATAGTGAATTGAAAGGAGAATAGCAACAAAATACTTCACAATGTTCACTTGTAATCGATATCAACACTAAAGTCACAAGTCTGCGATTGGTAATGACAATTCTCAGAAACAGAACACACCATTAACATTTCTCTTCACAGCAGGACTGGGAAGAAAAGGTCAGACAGTTTGAAACCTCTTTCTTGGTTCAATTATAAGAAAGGTCAGTTTCCGACTCCTGGTGACATGTCAAAACACGCCATCAAATACAGTAAATAATGCAAATCATGTCCGATATACCGACAAAGCTTAAGTACCACCAAAGAATTACTTTTTCACAAAACAATGACAGCTTTCAACCAAAGCTGTTTGACACTGAACACCACTGATAGAAAATGTATAATGTGTATTCTGCACTATGAATATGCATCTACCCTTCCTGAATGTGTCATTGAGTGTGTGTACAGTGATTGAGATTGAAAAATCTACAAGAAACAAAAGATTACACACAAGAGGTCTGCAAAAATACATACCAAATGCCATCACCACAAACCGATAAGCATTAAATAGCTAGAACACAGCTCACTATGAAGTCCTAGTTAGCACATGTTGAAACTTGATTCCAAACAATTTCTATACAAATGTAAATCTTTTATAATCCTCCAATCCTAACAGCATCAACTGCTGAAGAAGCATACACATGTTAAAGTAAATTGCTGTACATAGCTAGTTAACTTATTTCATTACAACAGGCAAATGAAACATCTGTACAATTTACAATTCTATGAGCAGGTGGTGACCGATAGTGACTGGTCATGTGATCACAGGAAGGGCCTGACCCCTGACCCAGTGAAACTAGCCTACAAAGTGGTCAGACAGCAGGGATAAATTCATTCAGCCACTACCAGCTTTCGGATACCCCAAGGTCCCATGAGAACACACTCTTACTCTTTAAATGTCCTAAGCACATAACCAGAGCAAAAAATCACCATGGAAACTTGCCTTTTGGCCAGTTGCCTTTACATCTCCTTCTGACATTTTGTCCAAACTCTTCTGCTTTTGGTCGGACAAATACCAAAAGTGGTCAGAAAGTAGCCGGCATCCAATGTAACTTAACGCTCTGCCTGACCCGAGTGAGGTGACAAGATTGTGGAAAGGCAGCAAGAGCTGGTGGGCACATGATCAGCCCATTCCAAGTTCTCATTTTATGAACACAACGCTAACTGAAAAGGTCACAGGACTGTACTGCCTGCTGGCATGCAATACACTAAGTATTTCAAGAAATGCAAGCACCTCTACACACCGCTGTAATAAATACACAACTGCTCACATTGCACATCCAATAACTGAAATCAGTCAGTTAAGAATAGAGAGTTAACACAATGGCAACACTGTAAAATACAAGCACATTGGCATAAATCTGATTGATCATATGTAAGCACTATGATAATGCTACCAAAAAAAATCATTTGGAATGGAAAAACAGGTGAATTTGAAAATGATGCTGGGACAAGCACTTGTAGTTACTCTTTAGTGTCATTTCAAGCTCATTCATCATTTAATACATTGTTTTCATTCAAAAATGTACTTTTCCTCTGAGCTTTAAGGAACAAGGCTTTAATCGTCCTCAGTTTCAAAAGTGAGGAGTGTTGAACCGTTAAGAAAATGAAACTTGGAACCAAAGACAGGTAAGACCATGGTTTGAGAGATACCATTCCCAGCTGGGGGTTCTTTACGGGTTCTTGGAATTTAGCACTGTGAAAATTGAAGAGAGCCTTGTCTCGTTTAAGTCACTTGAAATTCCAATTAAACAACAAAAATTGGTTCAAAATTCTATTGAACCAAATATTAAACAGTCGTACCTGCGTATATTTGTTTTCATTTCATTAAGAGAGTTAAACAAGAAGGCTTTTTCAGTGATAAATCTGAAATATTTTGCCCCACTAAGGACTTTTTTGCCAGAAATTAGTTGAAGAAAATGTTTTGTGGACAATCCTGCTTCACAAATTGGCAAGAGATAAAAAGTTACTATTTTTTCAATTCAAATTATCTACATTTATCTACAAGACGCTTTTCATAGTTTGTACAATTATGGACATAAGTACATATTTACAGAAAAAAATTGTTTTAAAATGTGAAAAAATATCAAGCACAATTTTCAAATACTTGCACATTGCATTCGATGGAGAGGGAAATATTACATTATCATTAAAATAGGTATCATCTACAACACGGCGTTTCAAAAAAACATTGATCATTTTACAGCTTCTCTAAACACCCTACAAAAATTCAGGAAACATATTTCACAAAAAGCTGTACACAATTCTGAGAAAGAGAAATGAATTGTTTTCCAGATGGACAAAAAGCACTTTTCTAAAATCAGAGTTGGTCAAGCAGTGCATGAAATGAGTATGCATATACACAAACATTCTTAAACATACAGTGCACTGTTACAAAAATGCCATATTCTACCATCGAGGAGAAATCAAACTTTTTTTGGCCAAGATTTTCTTTTCAATGCAATTAGGATGATAAAGAAACACGGACTATGTATTACGATTTTAACAGCTGAATCCCTTTTTCTAAAATCTATTAATCATTCATAGACAAAAGCATGACACAAGCAAATTGATCCACATAAGATGAACAATAATATGCAAAGAAATATTCTGACAATTAATATAATGAAGCAGCTGCCTTGCTTGTAGAAGCTCCGCAGGTGTTTACGGATATTCATAAGTCAGCTTGTCTCTGATGAAAACAATGTACATATCCATGACATAACCTGACACCATGAATATTCTTCCTGCTTTATTTTCTCATCGGGGTTGTTTCCAATGTGTCTTGGTCTTATGAATATTCATCCTGCTTTCTTTTGTTGAAGGGGGATTTCTCTCAGTATCTTGGTATTATGAATATTCATCCTGGTGACCAGTGAGATGATGTTATGGTTGCTATTCACACAGCTATTTCCACAGTTTTCTGGATGTCCTCGGTGGACATGCCAACACTGTCGATGCTGTTAGTGTCGCTATCACAGCTCTGGGCACCAGACAAGTTGGCAGCTTCCTGGAGCCTCATCAGCATGTTGAACTGATGAGAGAAGAGGAAACAAGACAGGAAATTATCAACAAAATGACCTTTTAATAAGGCAAGGATAGTCAATGGATGGCAGCCAAACCATTCCGATGTAAAAACAAAAGAACTTTGACAAGATTGAATTGTACAAAAGTTCAGTGAGTCTTTTCGGACATTAGCTTTCATTTTTCTTTTCCTGGATTCCTGGACAGAAGTGTTTCCAAATTACAATTTAGGATGCCACATTTGCTCAATTGTCAACAAATAATGTTCTGTTCTCTGGTAGCAAAACATTCACAAAAATGCTGTAAAAAAAACCAATTCTGCTTTTTGTTCAGTGACTACAGAAATGAAGTGCAGCTCAACAAGACACAGACTTTTACATGCATTGTGAGTGCAAGTTGCTTTCTGCACTTGTAAAGCAACTCAGCAGCTTTTTTCTGCTTGTCAAATGCAGACAGCTAGAGGTGCATTGGTAAGTTGTCTTCTTTCCCATCCAATCATTTTTTTCTTCAAGCACACTACAACGCAAAAGCCAAAGCACGGTCTTAATTTAAAGTCTGCAGACTGAAACAAAAATGTCACAAATACACAACAGAAATAAAAACATACTTCAATTAAATGCCAGTATCGCATTACTAATAACAAAAACTATGCTTTGTACTTGGAATGCGGTGTCTCTCATACTAACGGAAAATTGATTTCATCTCAAAAACAACTTGGACTAGTACGAGTCATGATGTTCAACATTTGCAAGCAACAAACACTGATACAATTCAACACATGCAAAAGGAAAGGTCCTGTGCATTGTATAGGTGATCGGCTCTATTGCCTTTGGAGCTGTTCCACTAGCAGCAAAATTGATTATGGTGTAGAATTGAATCACTGGTGTTGAATCCAATGCTTTAGTGAATGGCCGATGTTTCTCTTTTATCTCCACTCCATATGGCTTGTACACAACAATGCTTTAAAATACCAAGGCAACTGGGACTTTTATCTAAAGAAAAGGAACATATCAACATTTAGAAGTCTGCATTGTAAACAAGATTTAATAAACAGTTTCAAGGTTCCAGAAAAACATAGCCATCACTTCTCATTGGCAATTTCCAGAGACAGCAACCACAACAAGTCCAGTATCAAAATCACATTACAGAGAAAACCTATCCGAGCAACAAGCTTGCATACTGAACTATGCAGCATCATCTCTGATGTCAACAGACTCCTTTAAATGTACTTAGCTTTGGGGTTTGAATTTTCTCAGTTATGTTATGGTTTTTGAAATCTCACATTTACAAAAAAAAAGAGCTGGAAAAACCAAACTGAATTGAGATAAATTGTTGCACCCAGCTTAATTCAACTGAACTGATCCGATCTGAATTGACATACAAAAGCCGACGGCGTCTGATGATAATCAAGTGACAAACCTAACTAATCTGAACAAACTCTACTGAGCTAAACCAACATTACACTCAGTGGAACTAAATGAAATCACAATGAATCACAAGAACTAAACCACATAGACTCGGCCTGAAAAGCTACTTGCACAAATAATGTACTAATACACTGAACTGAGGGCACTCGTCCAATTGAGTGGAGGTGTTAACACGGTGAATGACAGCACAAAAAATAATACTGACAGAAAACACTGAAGATTTGTGGGTAAAAAAATCTACTAGCAGAAGCTACCACAGTGAAAAGCCAGGTACACAAGCACATGCATGTACCATACAGAATTCACAAAAGTCACTTGGAACTAGTCTACAGTGGTTAATGGCAGGAACTGTCCATTTACACAATATGCAGTTCACTCATAAGAATGATGCAGAAACGTCACATCGATCATGTGCAGAATACATCCAGCCCATCTGTGCTAGAACCTACCTACTAGGTTAAATGGTCGGGCTCGCGCAACTGCGCGGGCTGGAGTACCCAGAGGCCTCTTGTAAATGCATTAGCATGCTCAGCTGTCGGTTGCAGTGGAGAGAGGAAGGTCAAAGGTTAGAATGAGTGCAGTGTGTTGTTATTGTGATGGGTTAGTGTGCACTGTGGGCCATGATTCAGAAACCATTATGGAAGTGATTACACAACAATGTTACTTGTGTGCAGGCTTGTTCGGCCATTGTGAATCCTTTGATATCGAACACTACAAGTTGACTATTCCAGCCACTGACTTCACGGTTGCCTACAGAAAAGTTTTCCCATCGTCGGAATCCTTTGCTATCAATCTGACTAACACAAATTAAGTTCATCACAACCCAGTATGTCACCATTCATCCCATTTTATATGTCCCAAACTCAAATAACTGCAGCAGGTACATTTCCAATGCATTTGCCAGACTTTAACTGGACTGGTTATGAGGATGTCTCACAGAACTTAAGATGTACATGTTTGAGTTGCAATTTCCTACATGTTCATTTGATAAAAACTGATAATTCAAATATGCCTGACGATGCTTTGTACCATTCACTCTCGACAGTTTGAAGATTTTTCGGCTGGATTTTTAGTTTTATAAAATACACCATACACTATTTGCATTTCAAATACTCTTCTTCAATTCAGCATTGCTAGAAAGGCATAGTTACTTCAAGTGCAAACTCTCAAATAAAAAAGATAAACCTTGGTTACTCTGGTTAATAGGTGCAGATTCTTCAAACCGTATTGCAATACAACTTTTGTTAAGAACTTACCAGGGGATCGCCTTCTGCATCGCTCTGGCCAGACTGTTGACCTTTCACCCCGGTGTGCATAGTGTAGCCATCAAACCCGACATCCTCAGGCCGCAGCCGTAGCAACGAGGGCCAGTCTTGGCTGCTGGTTGGTTGCCAGGGATAGCTGTCAATCACCCACTCAGCTGGGTCTTCCCATGATGCCTTGCGACCGTAGAGCTGTGCATGTCCAGAAACAAATGCACACAGTGTGACTAAATTGACATTGATAATCCAGAACATTAAGCAGAGAACACTCTAAAACATTTGCCATGCAAGCCTTCCAATCTAAACAGTTTGTAAGTTTCTCCGCATTACCAGGAAGTGCCTTTTCATGGACAAGGACTACTATTCCCCCAACCCTTACATCACCAAGATTGGCAGGTATGGTAATCCTTTATTGCTTTATCACTGGTACCCCAAACCATGCAGACAACAAAAAAGACATAGGAGAAACCAACTCAGCTGGAAGAGGGACAGTACAATTTCTGAGGTTTTTGTTTGTTTTTTTAAACCAGTAAGAATAAACTTTTCAGAGACAGAAAACCAATTACAAAGTGATGTCTCAGTCCTTCCTCTTCCTTTTTAAAAAAATTGACGGTATTTTAGTGTACACGTTAACCATTTCCACTGTAAATTCTGAGTACCCATTTCGAGGTTTAAGGTCTCTTTCAGGTGATCCTGAGCTATATGGACATGCACTCAAACTACTCAAAAGGTATGTGGGATCTGCACCCTGTTTTAAAGTATGTGGAAGTGAAAGCTCTATCACTTTTTTTCCACTGGCAATCTACTTACCTGTAATCCTTCCCTGACAGCCTCCAGCAAATAGGGCACGATGGAGTAGTTCCAGAGGTCTGTGAACCAGACCTGGGAGCCAGCCAAGTCAACGGGACAGGACAGGAAGAGACGGGGCCCAATGGTGACGTCGGAGGAGCTGTGAGACTCCAGGAACTTGTTGAGGTGTTGCCAGACCTTAGGGATCCAGTCGATGATCTTGTTGAGGTCATTGTTGCGCACGTTCTCCCGGATCTCCTTCTCCACCAGCTTGCGGCGAAGGAACCGGCCCAGGAAACCTTTGACGGGCTCCATGTGGTTGGCGCACAGTACCCACCTGGAAATTCCCCCAGAACGAAAGAAGCTTGGTCTAAAAACTGTCCAGATTTAAGTTATTGGCCTGAGTCCTTCAAAACTGGGGAAAAAAGCCATCTGTGGGACTTGACCACACAACCACCTTCAATTTTTTGTATTATGGTTTTCTGAAATCAAAGCCTTTGAAATATATGGAGACTGGGAAGGATGTCTGAAGAAAATAAGGAAATTCCTTGAAGCACAAGGCTTTGCAAGGCCTTCTTTTAATTGTAATGGCATCAGTGGGAAGTTAACTGCAAGGAAGTCACCTGATCTGAGAAAGGTTGCATGCTACATTTTAGAACTAAAGTGACACTGAGCTAAAAGGTCTTCATCTCCTAATTCCAACAATTGTTTTTGGCTCATTGATCTGAAGATGAAGATTTAACAGTTTTTGTTCTTTTACATTTTAAAGCCAACTCCTAAGTCAGATTTCTGCCATCTGCAGGTTCTGTTTCTGAAAGTAAGGATTTGGAATTGTTCCAACTTTACTTGATCACTCAGGAAAGCTTTGGAGCTACATGAGTTGCTAACTCAGAGAATTCACTTTGGACTGGATCATTAAAAACCAAAAAGTTGCCAAGGCTGAAAATTTGGTTGTGGCTGCAGAAAACTGTATTCAAATAAAGATGGAAACTCTCTGCCTCCATTACCTGAAGTTGTGGTGAAGCTGCAGATTGGTGGAGGAACAGGTGGCCTGGTTCATGGTACCGATGATGAATGGACATTTATGATACTTGTAACTAAGGAAGCCGTTGAAGATGTCTCCAAGGGAACCGACGTGGTGGAGGTTGTCTAAGATGATGACAGAGGGAAGGTCCGCAGAACTGTGGAAGAAACAAAATATCCAAGTTTCAATTTTTCTCTTCTTTACTTTTAGACACTGCGGTCTAATTATCAACTGTTTCCTTCTGGACGGTTGACAAACGGATGCATTGCCTTGTAGTTTGGACAAATGAAAATTTGAGAATGTTTTAACAATTACTTCAACACTTATGAAAGTTTACAAGGTACAACACTGAAATGAATCATAACCTTGCCTTTATATCTATGTCGAAGAAAGAATCTGTAAGTCGCAAATAGAAATTTGAAATTGAGCAGAGTATAGGCAGACAGAGACTTAACTGGTTTGTGTATTTTCTCAAGATAGATTTTACTGTATCTATGAACAGTGAAACTCACCCTGTCTCGCATTGGTCAGCCACATTTGTGAGGTACTGTTTCAGCTCTTTGCTAGATTTGTGGTCTACGTTGAAGATGGCTATGGTCGACTCAGAAGATTCCTTCCCGCTCCTGGACAAAGTGATTAAAACAAAGAGAGATACGACATAACATAAGGGAAGACCTGGCCTGACAGTGCCAACCTTTTGGCTGCCTGTGTTTGTAATTATTCCCATCAACTTTAACAGTCCTGAATATTGCAACAGTTGGAATATTCAGGACTGCTGGGCTGAATAAAGGCCACAAAAATCCTCCAAGCAAAGAGTTCAAAACTGGCTGGTTAAAAAGACCTGCAATGCTGGAACATTCCTTGGCATTTTGGATTGTTTGGGGCGAGAGGAGGAGAATTGGATGCAATTAAGTTTGGTTGGTCAAAATGGCATTTTAAAGAAATCAAAACAGTGGCCAAAACGTACACTTGCGGAAACTGAAGAAAAAAATGTAAAAAATGAGTTAAATGCCAGGATTCTTTGGAAGAATATTGGATTTAAAATTCAGTTTGAGAACATCAAAGTGAAGTAATTTGCCATTTTGACATATGAAAGTGACTAAATGTTGCATTTCAAACTCAAACTTGGCAATACACAGCATTGGTTGATTCTGGCTTAACCTGAAAATTAGCATCGGAATTTTTTTTCCCGTGACAGGGTAGTTTCCAGCCCGGAAGCCTCACCTCTGAACAATGTGATCAGCTAGCCTCTGAGCTAGGAAAGTCTTCCCCGTTCCGCTAGGTCCACATAGGATAATCCTTCGGTGCTCAAGAAGCAAGGAGATGTACCTCTGTAGGATTGGCTTAGGGATGAGTGTTTCAAAGACCAGGCGATCACAGCTATTCTGCTGTACGCCTGCAAATGAAAGGGATCGGAACTCAATCAGTTCAGGAAATCACCAATCGCAGTATTTATTATTGTTTCAGACTCAGAAATCAGCTAAGTGACCCAGGCAAGCTTGGGAATAAAGCGATTAAGACATCTACGCTACAAGCAGGAGGTTTTTTTAAGTCCTACCTATTGCTTACAAGCTTTTGCACCATACTGAGTACAGAACTCTGCACACAATGAGCAATGAAAATCAAGACTCAAATGATCTCTCATGTCAATGGGCTGAAGTAAGCCAAACAGTGCCCTCAATTGTAGGTGTACGAAGCCAATAGATCATGGACTCACCTTTGACATGTATCTGGATAGATGTGTTATCACCCACAAGATACCCACAGGGCAAGAGTTCTGGCGGATCCGAGTCTTTGGTTCTTGTGATCTCCCCAACGACATAACTATGTACACTCTCTGCACTGAGCCCGATGTTTGTCACGGGGTCTATTCTTAATACATACTCCTGTAGGAATGACACGGATAGGAACAGCAGTTGTTATCAAGGCGTAAATTTACTAGCTGTGTCAACAAGCACACCGGTGTTCAAGAGATTGGCCTTTGCGATATTTTCTTCTATTCTGGGTAAATTGGATTTGGTTGAGGTGCCATTGGCCAAGGTTCCAAGGTTGGATTGAGGCTGGACTGGGTCAGATTGGATTTGGTATGGTTCAAGATCCCTTAAGAAGAGTTTAGCTAGGCTGGGTTAGACTGAGTAGGGTTTGCTGCAGTGTCGCCCTTGATGGGGGTAAGGTACGATTGACTTGATGTGGGTTTGATTGAGATGGGGCTCCACTAAAGAACTGTGGTATCCTTTAGGGGAGTGATGGGTTTAAATGGGCTATGCTGGGTTTGGGTTGGATTGAAATGGGCTTAATTTCATTGTGTTAGTTTGGGATGGATTCGGTAGGTGAAGTTGGCAACTGATGCCCCTGTACAAACCTTGAATATTCTCTTGACAACGCTGTCTAACGTGTCCCAGTTTGTCTTACTGCTGATTCCTATTGTGCCAATGAACACTTCCTGTTGTTTTGGCATGACGTTCTGTGAGTTGAAATAAAGGTATTCAATTCTTTAACAACTGCAAAATCTCAAAGAATCAGGAAAACAAACCATTCCTTTTTTGCATGAAATATACAGACTGCACCTCTTGGACTAAATGTTCACAAGACAGAAAATGGAAGCTAGCATAAGCAAATGCAGGAAACACAAACTCTGAGAAAGGACTGCAATTAGTTGCAAGCAATGAGATCATGTGAACATAATCCTGGAAGGGTTCAAATTGCGTCCAAATTTTGAAGAGCAAGCATCCTTTACAATAACAGACATGAGGAGTTTCTGGACAGTGTTTCTGAAAAATGGAGGTTGAGAGATTGAGGAGAATTGGGCAATACCTCTGCTTGCTTGACAGCTTCAGGCAGACTGTTGACGGCAACCGTCACAATAATACGTTGACTGTTGTTTGTCATACCAGAATTGTCGTCCAGTAAAATGTCTGAAAAAAAAGGCAACCAAGAAAATTCATTCACAGTAGATAAACAAGCAAACATAGCCATCTGCCAGGCCTGTACAGAATTTGCAGCAAAAATTCACGCCAATCTCATTGAGGGAAGATTTTTGGAAGGGTGGATTGGCTAAGTTAATGGCTAACTTACTCTGTTTTTCATCTGACCCATATTTGTTGAGTGGAAGAAAAATTCTTTTCTGAAGAACCATCGCAGGAAGTTTGGAATGCTGGTCATTTTCTTTATCCTGTGTGGCTTTTGGTTTCTCCCTCTGTTGGTTTCAACAGCTCAACCATCCCACCACCCTAACAAATTCTGTATCTGCAACTGCATTTAATAATCACCATGGCAGTGACGCATCGTCGTTCAGTTGAAAATGAACTGGTTAGAGTGCAACACGGCTCAACATACCTAGACTGCCGTGGTCTGAGTTCATGCTCAGCCGATGCCTGTCCAGTGAGTCTCGGCTGAGCCGCTTGGAAGATCCTAGGGAGTTGAGCGAGGCTTGGGAGGAGCTGGCATCCAGCGAGCGTTGGGCCACCACCTGCCGTTGCAGTCGTTCATTCTCCTGCTTGAGCGTGCTCAGCTCATTCTGTCAAATAAGAGAGGATGATTAAGAAAATTGGATTCCAAGACAAGGATTGCAATTTTCTTATCGACCATTGATAGTTTTAAAGGTGACCAATGTCATAAAGAATTAGAATTAGAGAAAAAATCTTGACCTAAGGCAACTTCCTCTGAGGCATGAAATGGGTCTTCTTAAAGCTTGTTCAGTTGTGTCTTCAACAGAAATTCCAACAATCATGCTTAACAATGTTAGAAGCACAAATAATGCCAAAAAAGATCCCAACAAGAACAAATAGATAGGTTGTGTTCCATTATCTATTCTTATTTACATTTTCTGAACCAAGTTCATCTAATTTTGTAGAGGTTGTCTCCTGTACCTTCTCTCATGCCGTCTTAACTGAATAGCTGAAAAACACTTTATACAATTCATTCCATCTCAATGCCAACTGCAGAGCACTGTCTTTTGAGTAGCCTACAAAACTCGCCCGTAGCCCTACAACCCTCCCACCATGACAAGCTCTCAGCCTGCCCACCTTCATCTTGCTCATGGATTCCTTCATCTGGTCCAGCTGATGCTGGGAGCTGAGTGCCTCCAGCTTGACGTCCGTCAGCTTGCTCTCTTTCTCCCTCAGCTTCCTCTTCAGGTCATTGATGGTCTCTTGGCTCTTCTCCGCGTCATAGATTCTGCGGGGGTGCCAAATCAGAGATGAAAGTATTGTAAAATCTCAGCATAAAGTCTTACACAGGGCTGTTGGTAATCCCTTCAGAACTTACGTGCACCAAATCACTGAGAGAAACCTACATTAAGTGTGAAGGTGTGAAACTCCTTGTGAAATGACACACACATGTAAAGAATTAGAGCAGGTTTACACTGGCAGAAGCAAGTTTAGTCAGGTTAAAAACTACTTGGATGTGGCTGACAATAAGGCAGCTATCTATGGGTAATAGTTGCAGCACCAATCTTTCACTTTCATAGAGGTACATGCTCTTTCTGCACAAGGCCACAGCTACAGCCAAGTAATTTGGACAAAGTCTCCGAGCACCTGACAAAATAAATTGGTCTGGTCTTTCAAATTCTGTAGGGAGCAACCAGATGTACAACTGTCATCAAGGCATATCAGCATGGTACTCAGTCTGGTACCCCACCCAAATGTAACCCAATACAACTCACGCTGACGTGGATGCAGACGATTTCAGCTGCTGGTTGGCAGGGTAACCGCCACTTTGGAAGGAACTGTTGCTCTCTAGGTCCTCCGTGTCTGTCGATGTGCCGTTCTTCTTCTTCCGACTGAAGGCAGCCCGGAAAGAACTTCGGAGCTACAAGGCAACAAACAACACAAGTGAAGAAGTCTCAATTGTGTATTTGCAAGCCGTAAATTAAATGGATTACTTTCAGTGACAAACCTCAGTTGTGTAAGATTACAATCTAATCTACAGGAAGTCTTGACACCAAAACGCCTTCACGAAAGCCAACAACCATTCATGCCTCGTTGAAAATACCACACATTAAAAAACAAACCAACTGTAACTTGTCTCTTAACGATCAAGTAGAACAGTGATCATAACTTTGTCACGGTTAAATAAGGATAAGTGAATTTTATTAATCTATCTCAATAGAGGAATAAAATAACATGGTGTTTTTGCTAACTAGTAACTAACCAAATCACAAATTTTGAAAACCTGGAGTGATTGAGTCTAGTTCCCTTGGCACTGTTTGCCAGGAATCTTCCTGAATCCCTTCCTAATACACCATTCTGCAGGAACAGCACTTTTTCCAATTTTTCAACTTTCAGAGAAAATTAAGCACCACGTTCATGGACAGCTGGTGCTGGATGCTGCATGCTTCTCCAATACAGGCTACCGACAGAAATCTGAAAACCAAATTCCAGAACTTTCCAGGACTTTTCAGTCGACAATTTCTGCGACAATGAATGCCGATTTCCAGAAAAGAATTATTTAGTATTACAAACTAGAAGACTGCCATATCCACCACTATTAACTGTCAAGGATAGAGTCTGTAAATTATCGCCACTCTGTTATCATTTCAAAAGCAGCCAATCAGAAACAACCCTTACATGATCTTGATTTGCATGACTTTTCAAGGCAACCTTTTTCCCAGGAATTTCACAATTTTCCATAGCTGGGGGAACCCTAAAATAGGTACTGCAAAGCCCTAGTGAGTGTTGTGCCACCGTAATAAATAGTGCCTCCTCAGCTAAGTCACTAAATAATCCATAAACATATATCATAGAAAAACATAAACTCCCATGCTACCACAAAAAATTAACACACACACAAAAAAGTTCAAATGGTGATCTGGGTCATTCTATAAATTCAGGGTCCAAAACTGTGACATTGTGGTGTCGCTGTTACTCCTGACCTGTGTAATTCGATATGGAAATATCACTGAAATTGATTTCAAACTATTTCCATTTGTTTGGCAGTTAATTTGCATAAATTAATCACTCTCAGAAATTACTGAATGTATTCTGAACTTTAAAATCACATGTCAGATGTGACACAGACACACACAAAGATGGACCCCAAATTAATGGAGTAGCCCATCTCCCGGTAAAACCAATGACAAAAGAACAAAAATGGGACCATGCAAGAAAAAAATAGCTATACCTTATCGCCTGATGATATCTGTGCATGGAAAGATGAATTGGTGAGCAGATGGATGGTGGGATGGGTGGATGATGGAAAGGGTGGAACAGGCAAAAGGCAAAACCAGAATTAGTGTGGAACAAAGAAACATGGACCAATGGAAATGGTGGTGGGACAAGTCACATGACACATCACATGATCGGTCAGATGACTAGTGCAACTGATCATTTTTCTTGGAGCTTTTTGGAAAGATGTAAAGTGGCGATTCAGCTGAAGAGCAACGCGCAACCAAAGGGGATGTATTAAACAAAACTGCAACTGATTACATGCAAGCACAATATTCTCTTTGCTGTTGAAGAATGAAGTCAAAAGCATGTGTGCATAATTGAAGCCAGCTGTGAGCAAGGTACAAATGCTACTAAATTTCTCAAAATCTATCAGCCAAACTGAAAACGTGGTCAATGACTGCTTCTGAATTTCAACCTAAAACTTAAAACACATAGAGTATCAACAACAGAAAATGGTGTACCAAATGGTTTCAACCAACAATGCATAAGAGACTTGATTGGCTATTGAAAACAATTGTCATGGGAACACAAAGGATTATGGGGGAAATCTAATCTAGCCCCAGGTGCTTGGCTGGGGACTTGGCTTCATGTCAAGAGTTTTTACAGTTGGAACCAAATTAAAATACTCTGATTCTGCTTCACATTGGACAGTTGATGCCTTTGTTGTGGTAAATGGAGCTGAGTTTAAGGGTCTCAACTCCAGGAACTGAACTCATGAAAACGAAGCCTGAGACCCAAGCAAGAGCCAAAGTAAGAGAATGTGGGTCCAGATTTAGAAAGAGAAGCTGTAACATGAAATTTGTCTTATTAGGGTGCTCTGAACAAACAGTTAGTCAATACAAGCATCTTCATCAGCTTGGTACTGAAGATGTACTACATAACCTTTGACCTACCCAGTGCTTCTTTTTCTTGCCGTTCTTCTTGCCGTCTGTGACCTCCGAGTCAGTGACGGCGGACCCAAAACTGGACATGCTGGTCATGGACGCTAGGCTGGACATGCTGTCAGTGGACAGCTGTCGACTGATTCGTACCTCTGGAACTGCCAAAAAAAAAACAAGAGGAAGGTTAAAAGCACAAAGCTCGCAAGGACACTGCAGCGGGGAACCGTTTGACACTGACCATTCTTGAAATAAAAGACACAATACTGGAGCAAAAACCTGTACAGTTCCACCTTTGTAATCAACCATGTATGTATAGAACCACTTAGCAGCCATTTTGATAAGCTACCTACATGTATTTATTATATGTATTCTTAAAGAAATTTTAATCAATTTGTTTGAAACTCAATCCTGCAGAGACTGCAACATTCAACGAGGACGATATTTCAAGCTGACAAAGGGCACTGTCCTCTAAAAGTTAATATCAGGATAATTCTTGTGCAATAAATATACAGAAGTTGTGAGATGGTTCCCGAACTGCAAAGGTCACATATCCATTATCTTTGATCTCTTCCTAATTGCAAAGAGCTAATCCATTATCTAGGTTCTTCTTCCACGAGTCCCAGTCACATTAATGATGTTCATTGACTCCTGCTGGTAGCCCTTACATCATGGAAGCATACATGTGGTATATCAACTCAGCAACGGCTGCTCAGCAACATTTATCATGTTTATATCCATATCCTCTAAAATCTCCCTTGGAATAGATGTCCTAGTTCACCACAGTTCCCATCCTCATTGTTTTCCAATATGTCAACTCCACAAACCCTGACGAATATTCTATGAAGTGCTGCACCCGTAAGTGACTACTGACGACAGACATTAATGACTCCGGTTGAAATCCAGGCAACAAGCCATTTTACACACTAAACCCATACCTGCATTTCCACCACTTCCTGCCATGTTGCATAATCTCTTATCTCCCAACACCAGAGACTGAGAATACATTACCAACAGGGGAGAATCAATTCAGTCATAAACTTTGTCCATAGTGTCACTCGAATTTTGTCCTCTCATGACGAGTATTTTGACTGTTCTTTTTCCAACTCATTCAAATCTTATGTAACAGTAAAACCATTTATATCTGCTCTGTATTCAGGTAAGATCGGCTCTGAAATTTAATTTAAAATTTCAAATAGCACAGGTAATCAAATAATACTTACAAAAGATGGAGCACAAACATACTGCCTTGACAAGTGATTTTTACGATGTATATTGCAAGCACCAGAATAATAAATCCAAAGACCAGAGCAAACCAGGAACACGGAAGCAAACGTTGCGCATTTACTACTATCCCATTGCTAAGTGACTACAAAAACCCCCAACTGCCATTGGTCCTATCAAATTGTTCGGTCCCACTGCAGATGTCTCCCGAAACTGTTTTCTGTGAAACGGTGACTTGGAGTAATGGGAATAATAATGTGGCAGTCCGGGGAGCACAAACTGGGATCTGTCTACAAACCTTTGGACCCCCGCGCAAACACATTAAACTTGTCTGGAGGCCGACATGCGCTGATAAAAATGTATAAACGGGCAGAGATGTCAAACCAGGCAGACATATTGGTCAAGGTCTTTGTTTTGGGGCTTGCTAAATAATGAACGTGCTGATTTACCTCAGTTTGTTCGGGATTAAACAAAGAAGCTTTTTTTTTAACACAGTTCCAACACTAGATTTGGAGAGCTTATGCTGGGTGTTCGCATTGTCAGAAGGCCATTTCATTCTGTTTTTATGCTTTTTGATCTTGAGACAAAAGAAATTAGGATCCCCACCCACAAAAAGAAAACAGCTGGAGTGTTTTAGGGAACAGTAAAGAGGTTAATCAGTTTAAGAGCTTTATGGCTAGACTGTGAAGCTGTTTTTATAGATCAAACCTTTTATCAGCCCCGTTTGTCAGGGTAAAGGTGACAAAACTGATCCATCTGATCAAAATGGATTCCATGACTTTTGGTGGGGGTAAAAAAGGGGGAAGATCTTCAGACTCCTAGCTTGCTGTTTTATATTTCTTGCTCTTTCAGAGATAAATGGGGTTTGCGATGGTAATTCATGCAAGATGTTAAAACTCCTACTCATCGACACGAGCAGTGACAGACTCAGACAAAGGCTTCAACTCAGAGAGTTTAGAAACCATTACAATCTTACTCCAACTCCCAAGTATTCCTGATAAAAATACCACTGAACCTGTCCTTGTTAGTGCAATCCAAATCACACCACCTCCTCAGTTATTCACAGAAAACCAAATCTGCCTCTCCTCCAAGCTATATTTTAACATATATATGTTTCAAGGCGTGATCATTTGACATAACCAAAAGTAACATCGCTTTCAAATGCTTATCCAAACTACTGAAGAATGCCCAAAGCACACAGCACCTTGCAACACTCTCTGTGCAGTCCAACGACTACTTACAGATGATGGAGTCTTTGCCCAAGGACTGTTTTCGGAGCAGTGCGCCTGGGTCTCCCCCCAGCAGCGGCTGGCCGTTGCGCTGCTGCTGCTGTTGCTGCTGGTGCTCCCCGGCGACGGCGGCTTGCTGGGTGTACTTCAGGAGCTCGATCTTGGTGCGCAGTTCCTGGAGTTCGCTGTCCTTCTGGTCGGCATCGCTTGTCAGCTGCTGGAGCCGATTGGTCATGTTCGACAGGCTCTGCTCGAAGGCTGCCACCACATGGGCCTGCATGAATAAAAAAAAGTGGAAGAGAAACAACATAAACATACCTGCACTCCATGTGACAAATTAAAGCCCAAACCTTGGTAAAGTTATGCTTATATTGAGATGCTACATTTCAAATATGACCTCTCTCTGTCACTTTTAAAGGCTCTGACTTCATCAATTGTATCCATGTTTTTTAAACTCTTTTAAACTAAATTTGAACTTACTTGCAAGATCCAATAAAGTTATGAAGCTTATTACAGAAGTCTACAATATTTTGTTGAAAGATCAAACTTGATAACCTCTCACTGATAAAACAAAAGCATTTGGCAACTAGTGTGTGAGAAATCTTTCAAGTCATTTTTTTCTCAAAATACCACTGTTTGGCTACACAAAATCCTGAGCACTCAGACCTAATCTCTTGCAAATCTCTAAGACTGGGTTTCTTTATAATTGTTTCCATTGTTCATTTTTCACAAACCACTTCACACAAATACACATCCACAGTTCTCTCCTTAAAGCTTCTCTCCACCATCTCACACTTTCTTTCTCCATAGGTGACCGGCATGTGCGAAGAACGCAAGATTCTTAACTGCTACAATCCACCCCGAGCTGAAGTACACCCCAAAACGGTGAAAGAAAGACAGGTAGTTACAAGCGGGTTCTTGCACGCATTCCACAAGTATGCAAAGACCATACAGGCCAGAATAAATTAGTTATGCGTCCTCAGCGTGCTCTGCATCAAACGCGCATATACCTGTGCACCTGTGCAGTGAGTACCAACAAAAACATGCCCTCTTTTGTTCCGCTCGGAGTGGATAACTGTGCCAAGAGGATGATGAAGATTAATCGCGCATATTACAGAGTCTTCTTCTATGAATATATATCACTTAGGATTCCACGTCCTTCAAAATTATAATGTATCTGTGGGATATTGACAGATTTATTGCATATCTAATTTTTTTTAACAAGCAAACATTTTTAAATTGAGGTATATACTTTTTTGTCTAGCTCCGCTGTAATTTTTTGTTGTACTTGACAGTCAAAACAAAGATAATGTGTGTGGGGATTCTCAAGGATTTATTACCCCAGCAGTGCCGTTGTTAAAAGTGATTATTTTGGATTTTTGCCACACTCTTAGGACAATACGTTAAAGAGTGACTGAAATGCTTTTTATCAGAATCACAATAAAAAACCTGAGACGAAGGGAAAAACCTTATGCATGTCTCCAATCCTCTGCAGGGTCACCCCTTTCAGAGTAGACACAACAGAAAATCCCTCCCTCCAAAGCACTGACATATCTAGAATTCCGGCGAGACAACCTTCATGATTTTTTCCCTTCAAATCTTCGGAGAGATTTATCCTCCTCCAACAGCGACTAAGACATCGGTGGGATAAGGAATGCACAGTGCCTGATCCCTTCCTTGTCGCTCGCTGTTATCTGAGGGAATTTAGTCCTTTCATCTCCTTTGTTGCATGTGAAAAGGAATTATCGAGCCAATGCAAAGAATTTACTTTTCTGTTGCACGGTTTCTCTCAGGAGTTTTACAACAGTGTTTCAAAAAGCAGAAACGTTGTGTTGTAAAGATCCAAGCCTTTGAAAGCAAACATACAATATGTCTTTGATGCTTTGCTTATTAAGTGATTTAGTGAAGCATTAGAACAAGTGTAATTGTACTTGCATTTGTACAAATCTTTCTCCCAGATCTCTTGATAGGTGCTTAAATTTCGATAAGTCACATTTAGGTTTTTGGACAAGCATTATAAAACTTAATCAGGATTCAACAAACCTGGTGCATTTTTTACATTCCCACTTATTTCATCTGTCATGAGCACAGATTCAGCCATTCATGCGCACAGTAACCCACACAATAGCTTTTCAAGGAAACTTAAATTTGATTTAAGACTGGGATTCCATTTTTCCCCCAAAAGGGGCTGAGGTTCAGCACCAGCTGTTGGACGAAATGAATGGGGTAAATTACAGCTCACCAGGGTGCAGTACCTGCAGCCCCCACACTGCCCTTCTAGCTCTCTCCCCCAGCCGAGTTCCCCTGCTTGGAGGGGAAAAGTGTGGCTAATTAATACTAACTGTCAGACTGCCCCAGTTCATAAAGATGATACGAACCAGAAAAACCACAAGCCCACAAGCCGGGAAGTTTTATTCTTCCCAAGAATCAACTTCAACTGCAAGTGCATTAAATCTTTTGCCCGGGCAATCACTTCTCTTGTCTTCCTTCAAAATGTCAAATAATGTACCCTGACTTGACTCCAGGCTTTACAGTTCTTCTGACCCGGGGCCAGAAGTGATAAAAATAGAGACCACTTTATTACAACCGGCTGGTCGTTCTTGGCAAATAAACATTTGGGCCCACTTCAAGGAACTATTTCACAGCAAACACTCCCCTAAAGTTTATATATTCGGTAAAAATACGGGGAATGTCTGTCACATGAAAGTATTGACTACCCCAATAAACCAAAATTAGAAACCACTATTGCTGGGCCATTCTTTTAGTCCGCAGGTGGTATGTGCAAGTTCTACTCCTCTCTGATGTTGTGACTTATCAAACTGCACATGAGTGCTTAAAAAGCCCTGTGCGTGAGTGTAGTGAACCCTGCACTAATGGCTTCTTTTCGGATTAGTCTACGGTCTTTCTGCTCTTAGCAAATATCTATGCCCTTTGACTGCTCCGTCACATCTTTTTTCTTTGCATGTTAACTAATTAGTGCACGCTCAATATGACGTAAATAATAGTGGACTGGTTACATGGAGCCATTGTCAGCCACCGCAGAGCATCTCAAGTCTCTCCTGATTCACACCAATGCTTGGTAAAATATCCACCTTGTAGGCACAACTGCAGCTGAACTTTACACCCCATGCAATGTCTAAAGCCAATGTCAGTGTGCACTAGAAAACTAGTGGACTCTGCCTTTGTCATGGGCATCATTGTGTATATTATTTACAATGAACTTATCCTGTGTAGGAAGACTACCAGCATATCCCAGGTTGACACGGCTTCATTCACCATTACCCTACCCGCAGAGCTTGCTCCATTATGCCCTGCCATAACAGTTTCCCTTCCGCTACGGATGTCTCCTCATGTTCTTTCTCTAGATTATCTGACGCTCGGATAATCTAGTCTTTTTCAAATTAACATCACCAAATACAAGGCCAGATGGCCACTCAAAATGAAGGGCAATATCAGTGGCCTGGACCAAGCACTGGAACGCAGAAGACTTGTTAGCTTAATACTAGACACCATCAGACAAAATGTTCCATCAGCCTCTCATTTCCCTAAACTAATTATGCTCTTACTTAGTGCAGAAATTATCACCTGCTACCTCCATTTGGACAGTCACACCTTTGATGTGGATTGCTAAGTGGATTAGAGGGTGTGAACTGGCTCATTGTCTGGGTTCAGTGGGTGTCTGTTGGGAACCCTAAATGGGCATTCTACCTGCTCCCAATAGCTCCATGGTGCAGGAGAAACACAGCAAACCACAAGCTACAGCACTGCTTACAATGCTCTCTGCTGTTTGCATGGTTGGTTGATCTTTGTGCACATATGGGCTATTTGCAAATGTATGCCTGCACATTCAGGGCTACAAATTCTATGCAACCTTTTTTTTTATGTCAGACACTTCAATTTTATGTGGTCCACTTGCACTTGTATAGAGACATGTACTACATGTACTGTATGTACATGTACATGTACACACAATGTGACCTGACTAGGAGTTGTTCAATTACTGGCCAGGATTTTGTCCACTTTTTGTCACCATTATGTTTGATTCAACTATTTGGTGTCATTTTTCACTCCGATTTGTAATTTTCAAGAAAATGTTAAAGACACAATTAATTCCATTGTCCAATGCAAGCAACTAGTAACAAGAACAATGCAGTGAAATCATCAGGTCATGGAATGTTCCAAATGCGCCATGAATGGACACATCTTTTATTCTACTCACATGCATTGCATTCGCTGGCATCTTGAAAGAAGTTCAACAATGTATTAACCCAAATCAACAAGCCGAGCAAAAGAGAAGTACTCTGCACAATGGCTGGCTGAACACCCAAGAATGTCACAGAACTGTCCAGCTTGTTCCTTGCTCCACGGTCACACCTCCAAGTGAATGTACAACTTCAAGCAGTGGCGCTTACAACTGCATACACACACCACCATGGGGTGTCGTCCGGCTAATGAAGTTATTGGCAGTCTGTGGTGGGCGAGGACCCTTGGCCATTACACACTGCATCCAGGTGTCACTCTGCTCCTGCCAAGGTCACTGCACAATCATCCCATATGATGATGTGACAAGGGATGGGAGGCTGGCCTTACTCCTGCTGGTGAGGATGTGATGTGTTGATTGACCAGCTAAGCTGTTCCCTCACTCCACTGTGATCACTGACCAGACAAATCTGAAGAGTTCCTAAAATAATGACTGCGCCACCTAAAAATCTGCAAGTTTGGCGGAGCTGTGCTCACAGAAAGGGATTTTTCTACATCTAACTCGAGATAAAAGAGGTATTTCTGGAGTCAGTCAGTTAAAAAGGGATTAGTCGCACCGTGGTCCCGTAGTGGTCAATACTCTGAATGAATAAAGTCAGGGCACTAATCCACTGCTGGCTAGTCTGTGGGATTATGAGGTGACCACTGCACTGCTGATGTCCACTCCCAGGTGCAACTGCTTTTTTTTTTTTAAGAAGACCACAGCTACCAGTCTCCCAGTGCTAGACAACCACATCAATTAACACACACAGACACAAAGAGACTAGGAGTCCAGTGTGTCCATCATTGTAGCACTGTGAGACAGCTTTGGTGTCTTCATGATCTATGAGCAAAATCACTGGCAGGGTGGATCTGTCACCCAGGGCATGACACAGGTGCTACTGTCTGGCAAGATTAGCCATGAGTGGACAGAAAACTATTACTTAACCCCTTAGCCCACAGCTTACTGTCTGATAAGCCTGGCTCTGGCCCCAATCATCTCTATAAGCTGAAATCCATAACCAATTGCATCTT